GTGTTTCTGCAGTGCTTGCTGCGTGTGGGCAATTCTACATTTGGCAACGCCGTACTCACCACCACCTAGTGAAAGAGAATCCCCAGCATCCTCTCTCGGGGGTGGGCTTGGATTGTGGATGAACATGAGGCCTTCAGAGGCCATCCTGCAAGTCCCTTAGGCCCTTCTGAATGTGTAAATTGACTATACGGGGATGCAAATTCCAATACTAGCAGTTGCAGATCAGTAGCTGCTCAGAGAGGTGAAGGAAGCTACCCGCCATCACACAGCAAGCTCTTCACAGAACACACTTTTGTTGATCAAAATATGTAAAATGTGATCTCATTTTATATGACACAAAACCACCCAAGATGCTGCTTAATTTCCCAGAACTGTAATATATGTTTATCACAAATCAGAGATGCCAGTTTCCGTTTGAAATGCATGCAAGGACATTATAAAACAGTGATTACTTGTGATCATTTTTCAAATGAATGATCCAGTCCTTCAGGAATTGGAATGTGTCCCTTCCTTACTTTATTCACAAAAGGCAAATGAAGCAAAAAATGCTCACGTCTTGAAGTGGTAAATTGTACCCACATCCCACTGGGACAGACAAATTCTTATAAATAAAAGGATTTTTTCTTTCTTTTTTTAAAAAGTAACTCCTCTAAGCCTAGGAATTTGGTTTCTTTTTTCTTCTGAAACCGCAAACACGTGTTTATTTTAACAAGATGAGTACAGCTGGATGCTAACTATTTCTGAAGAAAATTGCAATCGTGTAGCTAGGAGGAAAATAATCACTTCCTTATGTGGCTGCTTACACTTTACCTTCCCAGGAAACATATGTGTGTGCTTTGAGAAAGGAAATATTTCTAAATGTTTTTACAGTTAAGTTTTTACTCTAATCAGATCAAGGTGTTTTTTTTTTTTTCTAAAAAAGTGTTTTTGATCGTTTAATTTTATTTATTATTATTTTTAATTTGCTATCGGGCATATGCGCTCACCAGAGAGAGAAATTGAGAAAGCAAGCAAGCAAACCACCAGGTCCAGGACTCAAGCTGAGGTCGGCCATATGGGAGTCCAGCACCTTAAACATCACGCCACCTGCTGGCCCCAAATATGTGTTTTAGGTGTCTTTTAGCAAATCCAGAAACTGGACGGTGGCACAACGATAGCACAGCACTCTGCACGGCTGCCTACAGAGGAAGGCTCTGGGTTTGCCTCTGAAGTCCTCCCTGAATATGCCCGGTGGGCATGCCCGTAATCCAGGGTGGCTGGGACTGCAGGCGGATCGGATGCACAGAGTTCACATTCTCATCCTTTCTCTCTTACTCATGGACGAAGGAGGTAAATAGACCTAAATTTTTTTTTTTTTTATTGCCAGAGGGTTTGTGTGCTCACCAAGGAGAGACACAGAGGCAGAGAGAGGGGGGAGAGGGAGAAAGCACCCCCTGCTGGAGCATGGTCAGGCTGCAATCCCTTCTCTATTTTTCTGTCTGGATTTTGCCATGTACACACATGTGCACTGCATGTTTTTCAAGCCATCAGGGTCAGGATTCAAACCACAGTTGGCCAGATAGAATCTGGCTCTCTTAACCATCAGACCATGAGGCCAGTCCCTTAAAAATAAATACGTTTTAAATAAATCCGACAGCAAAATCTGTTAGCTCTGCCCCACCAAGATGTGTCCGAAATCTGTCCACTTCTTACTGCTCCAGAGCCAGCGCCCAAGCCAGGCCACCATCGTCTCATGGCTGAATGGCTGCAGCCATCTCCGTGCAGAGACCCTGTGCTGCTCCTGGAGACCCCTACTTCACCCAGCACTAAGGGGATCGTTTAAAGCCCAGAATGAATCCCATCATTCTCCTGCTGACAATCTTCCATGGTTTTCCATCATCCCTAGAATCAAATCCAAATCCTCACTGGCCCTTCCAGATGTGGTAGCCTCGTCATGTACCGTCAGCCCCCTGCCCACAGACTCCAGCCACACTGACTCCTTTCAGTGTCTCGTTGTCACTGAGCCTCAGGGCCTTTGCACTTGTTCCCTCCAGAGGACGACTCCGCCAGCACAGTGCCATGTGACTGGCTCCTCGGTGCTATGCAGACCTCACATCCGATATCACCTTCTCAGCGAGGCCGTCCCCAAGTGCTCTCTCTAAAAAGGCCCTTCTAGCTGTTCGCTTTAATGTTCTCTTTCACTGCCTTCACATTTTCACGAAGTAAACTCGTCATGTTATTTATGGTCTGTCTCCCAGTCATCTCCAGGCAAGCTTCATAAAGCCAAGAACTTGCTTGTGCCCAGTAAATGAATGAATGAATGAATGACCAAATAAATCTGTGAGAGAAAAAGAGACAGAGACAAAGAGATAGCCAGAGAAAGAGGAGAAAGAAGAAAAGGAAGAGAATGAGAAGAAAAAAAAAAAAAAAGGAGGGAGGCAGAAGGAAACAAGGAAGGAATTACAAGCCATTTATAAAAGAATACCAGGGCAACTGGCCTCATAGAGCAGAGGTGAAACCCTGTGAATTGGGAGCTGGAACCCACATGGTTGACTACAGTTCAAATCCTGACTCTGATGGCTTAAAAAAATATCTGTGTGGGAAACAACTTTTAGAGCAGCAGCCCGCCTTGCCATCAGAGCCGTGTGCGCCATGAACCACGCACAGCAGCCCGCCTCGCCATCAGAGCCGGTGTGCGCCATGAACCACGCTTCCCAAACCTTCTTCACTCGCGCCAGCGCCGGCTCTCCCCCAAACTCCAGGAAGAGCAGGAGGTGTCTGCGCTGGGGGCGCTCCCGCCCGCACGCCAGCGCCGGCTCTCCCCCAAACTCAAAGAAGAGCACGAGGTGTCTGCGCTGGGGGCGCTCCCGCCCGCGGCTCCCATGGCGCCCACCGTGATGAACATACGCAGCGAGACCTCGGTGGCCGACCACGTGGGCTGGTCCCTGTTCAACACGGTCTTCATGAACTACTGCTGCCTGGGCTTCATCGCCTTCGCCTATTCTATGAAGTCTAAGGGACAGGAAGATGGTGGGCGACGTGATCGGGGCCCAGAACTATGCCTCTACCGCCAAGTGCCTGAACATCTGCGCGCTGGTCATCGGCATCGTTCTGACCGTCATGTTCATCATCCTTTGCACCGCGGCTCCAGTAATAATTGCAGATATGATTCAGCTGGTGAAAGAGTCTTTCCAACGCTCGTAGTTGATGGCCATGGCCTACAGCCATGTCCACCACCACTGCTGGCCTGTCCCCGGGGCCTTCGGGCCTGCCCCTTGCTTTTATACAGCCGTTTCTACTCACTCTGACTACAGTGGGATTCAATAAAGTGCACATGTTTGTTAAAAAAAAAAAAAAAATCTGTGTGTGTGCATGCTTGCCCCAAGTCCTGAAAGGGTGGGAAAATGGAGGAAAAATTATCATGGTGTGACTATGCCCCATTGGGGGGGTTCTCTCTCTCATGAGTGGCGCATGTGCCCTACGGCTTTTAAAAATACATAATAGGGACCAGGAGATGGCATAATGGACTCCCATGTAGTCAACAGCTGTTCAAGTCCTAGACCCGGCGGCTTAAAACTCACACCGGGTACGTGTGTATGCGTGCCCAAAATCCCCAGAGGAAAATGGAGGAGAAGGAATTGTGGCATGGGCATCCCCCTGGGGGGGTGATTTCTCACTTTCTGTCTCTTTGTCTCTCTCCCTGTCTCTTGAGCGAATGCACGTACCCATAACAAAAATCTCTCCAAATAAATGAATAAATAAACAAAACAAAACACAGGATACAGGAATACGGTGCCCTATTAGTCAGCTAGATTGCTTAAGCCAAGTCATAGGACTTCATATGTATCTTTTAATATAAAATAGCCATGTTTTTGTTTTTGTTTTTTGTTTTTTGGATAAGAGATTTTTGTTATAAAGCGTGTGCGTTCACTGGAGAGACAGAAAGATAGAAAGTGAGAAATCATCCCCCAGAGGGTTTGGCCATGCTGCAATCCCATTTCCTCCCCTTTCTTCTTGGGATTTGGGCATGCGTTTTAAGCCTCTGGGTCCAGGACTCGAACTACGGTTAGCTACGTAGGAGTCCATCAATATAACCATTGCGTCATCTACTGGTGCCTAGTCATTTATTTTTTTAAGTTTTTTCTTTAAAGAATTCTTTATTGGGGCTGACAGGTGGTGTGGTAGTTAAAGGCACTGGACTCCCACATGGTTCAAGTCCTGGACCTGGCAGCTTTCTTTCTCACTTTCCCTCTATCTCTCTCTGTCTCTTACCGGTCAAGTTAAACAATAATAAATAAAATAAAATAAAATAATTCTTTAAACAATTATTTTTTAAAGTATTGATTTAATTTTATTTATTATTACTACAATTTTTCTAAATTTGCCATAGGACACATGTATTCAGCAGGGAGAGAGAAAGTGAGAAAGCAAGATGCCAGGTCCGGGGCCAAGCTATGGTTGGCCATGTGGGAGTCCAGCGCCCCAACCCCACACCACCTGCTGGCCCTAAAACGGCAATTTCAGTAGTACAGCTTTATGCTGCTGTTTGCTCTGAGCCTGACACCACTGAGTATTTCCCCGCCCACATGTTTTTTCATCTTTCCAACACCCTGCAGGCAGGCTTTACTATTATCCCCAATTTGTTCATGAGGAACAGCGACTGGGGGTGGAGGGGTAAAGTGACAGTGAGGTTCTGGTGGAGTGGAGGGGCTGGGGTCAGCTCAGGCCTTCCGACTGGGAGCCGCAGCAGGCAACCCTTCCCCTCTCTGCTCCACGGCTCTGCCTGCTGCATCTCTGCCCTGCTCCTCCTGACTTACTTTCTCCACACACCGGAATTGGGGCCAGAGACCTCAGTCCAGGCCAGCCCCTTGCAGGCGTGGCGTGGGAAACCAGAGGTGGCAAGGTAGAGTGGGCTCTGGGCCAAGGGAGTTGAGGAGGGGAGGGGAGTGGGAGCCATTGGGACAGGGGCCGGCCTGTGAGGGGCTTTGGGCACCTGGGCTCACTTCTTCTGTCTGCCGTAGGATGGGATGCGTGAAGTCCAAGTTCCTCCGGGGCGGAGGCAAGAACTCCACAAAAGATGAGTCAGGCACCAACCCGCACGGCCCAGTGTACGTGCCAGATCCCACTTCCTCACTCAAGCCGGTGAGTAGGGAGTGGCCTGCCTGAGTGGCTGGCGGGAGGCGTCCCCCGGGTGGCAGGCAGCCGGGGAGGGGGGAGTGCCCTGCCTGAGTGGCTGCCGGAAGCTGTCCCAGTGTTGCCAGTCAGCTGCTGTCTCCAGGCTGGGCAGGGTGCATTGGGATGAAACGGAGCTGACTAGCCATCTGCAGTGCCCAGTGCTCCACGATGCATCTCCAGGGGAAGGAAGTCACCCCTCTTTGTAGGGAGCGCAGGCCTTGGCCCATCAGCCTGGACTCCACCCACCAGGGCTGAGCGTGCATGGTGAAAGCAATGCTGGGAGCGATGTGACCAGCCTAGTAATCATAGCAGTTGAAGCAGGACAGTGGTGGTCACATCCGCATGGTAGGGAAACAGGGCAGCACCGGCATTGTGGCGCTAACAGCCGTAGCTGGGGTCTAGCCACCACAGCCGCCCAGGACAATACCAAGAGCAGGCACTAGGAGAAGCAGCAGTACTAGCCCCGTGTCTACGGGCTTGTCCTACAGAGCTGCCTGGAAGCCAAGCACTATTCTAAGCACTTTACAGTTAACATTTTGAAGAATTACTTTATTCATTTCACTGCATTTGTTATGATTCTTTTTTAATTTGACCAGAGACAGACAGACAGAGAAAGGAAAAATGAGAAAGCAAGCCTTCAGGTCCAGGACTCGAACTGTGATTGGTCATGTGGGAGTCTAGCACCTTAACCACCATACTACCTGCCACCCCTACAATGAACTTTAATCCTCACAATAAACCTGTTGTAAGAAATATTTTTTGTTATACCCATTTTACAGATGAGGCACAGAGATTAAACGACTTGCCTAAACCTGCATGGTTAGGGGCAGATCCGGGAGTCAAACTCCAGCAGTGCAGGCTGCAAAGCCCCAGCGGTAGGATCAGGAGTAAGAGGCAGGTGCCGAAGGGGAGGGCAGTGACAGTAACAGTGGTGGGCACAGGAGCAGTGCTAGTTCGTGATGGAAATTATGGAGCAGCCAGAGAAGCAGCACTGCTAGAAATGGTTGGAACGGTCCCGAGAGCAGTGACAGTAATGACAGTGGTGGTGACCATGCTAGTACAGTAAGGGTGACAACAGTACTAACGGATGCAGCAGGGACAGTTGTCGTCATTGTTAGCTGTTTTCTGAACATCTGCTATATTCCAGCACTGGAGTGAGATGCTTCTTTTTATTTACTTATTTATTTTTTTAAGCCTTTTAAAAATGTTGCTGTAAGGCACATATGATCGCTGGAGGGATGGAGAGAAAGAAAGAATGATAAAGCACCCCCAGGGGGGATGGCCACACCACAATCTCCTCCCCTCCATCCTTCTCACAAGATTTTGGACATGAATGCATGCATGCACGCCCAGCATGTTTTTCAAGACGCTGGGTCCAGGACTCGAGCTGCACAGTTGGCTGTGTGGGATCCAGCCCCCTTAACCACCACGCCACAGGCCCATGTCATTAGTCTTCTCCAAAAGCTGTGCTTTGCAGCCAGGCGGAACTAAGGCTCTAAGAGGTTAAGTGGCTCCCCGTCACACAGCTGGAAGGAGTAGAGCCAGGTCTATCTAACTCCAAACCTGGAGGTCTCTCCACTCTGTGCCCCTTTAGTCTAACCTCTGATCTGAAGTTGTCTAGGAAGCTCAGCCTCTTCTCAATGCCCTCCAAAGTGGGAATACACCCCTCCTTGGGGCAGCTCCTTAGAAAGTTCTTCTTTATATTGAAGAGGTGCTTGTTACCCCATAACCTTTACACTTTGATCCCACACTTCCCCTTTACTTAGCTCTGCCCCAAACACATCCACTCCCTTTGCCTCACGACAGCCTAGATAGAAAACAAAGCTCTTACCCCAGCCCAGCCTCTCCTTCCAAGTCATCTTTCAAAAGACATGGCTTCCCGGCATCTCTCCATCCTGCTTGCCCTTCTTCAGGCCTGATGCCTAGAACAAGGCTAATTCTGAATATAAGAGAATAATGGAATAGTCACCTCCTTATCTCTGACCCTTGACCTCTATTAATACAGCCTGAAATTACACAGACTTCTCACACTGGTCATGCCCTGAGCCAACTGCAGACTATAAGCCCTAAATCACTCCTAAATCTGCCCTTCTCTTAACCTGTGTGGCCCTGGGCCCTATCTATGCTGAAGGCTCTAGATTTTCAGGTTCTATGAGGCTCTGGCTTGTTATCAGCAGAAGGCAAAAGGTTTCTCCCATCAGTTTCTGACATCCTTTATGAGCATCAGATGGAGAGGATGCAGTGATCACCTATCCCCTGTTCCCCTCCAGCAGGGCAGTGGTTCAGC